CGCTTGCCAAAGACAGAGAGAGACAGAGAGACAGAAAGTGAGAAATCGCCCCCCAGGGGGGATGACCACGCTGCAATCCCTCCTCCTCCATTCTCCTCTCGGGATCTTGGGCATGCACACACATGCTCAGCGTGAGTTTAAGCCACCGGGTCTGGGACTCAAACCGTGGTCAGCTACATGGGAGTTCAGCGCCATAGCCATTATGCTAACTGCTGGTCCTGAGAAGAAATAGAATTTTATAGTCAGGAGGCCTACAGTGACTTCTGAGAGGGAGCAATGAGCATTATGATAAATATCATTACAAATACAGGTGAATGAATTAGATATGTCTTGAATGATTCCATGGTACATCATATTTGTTTGTTCATTTGTTTTTACTTCTTGAGATTCCTGAATATATCCAGATCCTCTGAGTCACACTCTCATCCTCACCCCAACTGTGGCTTTATTCAGTGCAGTCTCAGGAGGGTTCAGGAGCAAACTCATAGCAGCCACCTTAGATTGGAAGTCTGGACTTGGTCAAAGTTAGCTTCCTTGCTTTTCAGGAGATTTTGTTTTTTTTTTTCTTAAGATTTATTGAATCCTAGGGAACCAGCAGTTAGCGTAATGGCTATGTTGCTGGACTCCCACGTAGTCGAACGTGGTTCGCGTCCCGAACCCGGTGGCTTAAAAGTCACGCCAGGCGCGTGTGCGTGCGTGCCCAAGATCCCGAGAGGAGAATGGAGGAGAAGGGATTGCGGCGTGACCATCCCCTCTGGGGGGTGATTTCTCACTTTCTGTCTCTATGTCTCTCTCTGTCTGTCTGGCAAGTGCACGTGCCCTATAGCGAAAACCTCTCCAAAAAAAAAAGAAAAGAGATTTATTGAATCCTAAATGGTGGGCTATGTTGTGGAGAGTTTAGTTACTATTTCGTCTTCTGGATGAAAAGAAGACTGGTATATTCTCACTTGCTCACTCAGCAACATTTATTGAACACCTAGTAGGTGTTCAGGAAACTGATAACATTATCATCCCATTGCTATGCCCTCTAATTTTTTTATTACTAATAAGGAATCTATGCTATCTGTGTTTCCTAATTTTACATTTCCTTTTTAAAAAAGAATTACTTATTTAATTCCATTTGCTATTAATATAATTTTTTAAATTTGACCAGAGAGATACAAAGAGAGAAAGGAAAAATGAGAAAGAAAGCTGCCAGACCCAGGACTCAAACCATGGTTGACCACGTGGGAGTCCAGTGCCTTATCCATCATGCCACCTGCCAGCCCCCCTAATTTTACTTTCCTAAGCTCTGTGCAAATGTGCTTAGAATTGTGAAATAGACAATTTCCCTATCTCAGGACTCATTTAGTGTATATTTTTCTACTAGTGACTTTGAAGTATACCTCATTTCTTTGGATTTTGATTGTTTATAATAGTTCAAACCTATTAAACTATTAAAGTTTAAACGATTAAACTATCGACTATTAAACTATTAAAGTAATAGCCAGAATTCATAAATTACATGGATGAAGGTTTGAATCAAATACATTTGGGGTTTTGCTGTTTGAATCTCTAATTGGGAAAGTTAACACCTCCTTGAACTTGCTGGTTCCCCAAGGTGAGATTAATGTTTACTTAGCTCCTGTGGACTACCAAGCCAAAGATCAGTTTACAGCTAATCTGATCGGTTTCCTGGGCACATGCAAAGTTTCAAATTCTAATGTCTTTTACTAAGCTGAAATGAGAGAACATCATGCAATACATGCCTATTATTATCCAATAATTAGACAATATATTTTACACAGTAAAGACAAAAAGGCCTGTATCTCTTTTTAATAAGGAGGGAAGATGAATTAGGATCTTGAGAGAAAGTTGACATTAGCAAAGAGGTTAGCAGAGGGACTCTTAAAAAGATCCAATTACAGGACATATTGTGTCCTAATTTACCCTCCCATGCTCTACATTCAACTGTGAAATCATCTCAAAGGAAAAAAAAAATTCAGACTTATGAACTAGGAAAATATAAAGAGCTAGTACTGCCCTCTGGTGTTCATGCTGACACATCGGCAGAAAGCGAAGGCCTCAATTTGACAGCACCCAGTTGTCTGGCTTAAATTAAAGGTGTAAGAAAATTTCCCTTTCCATTAACTTACAATTTCTTGTTAAATCCATATTTAAAAACAAAACAAAACAAAAAACAGAATAATATTTGAGATTCATATTCTTCCTAGGAGAAATGTACTGATTCTCTCTGATCTTGACTTGTAATAGTATTACCTTATATAAAAAATAGGCCTCATGACTTTAAATGAGGTTTGAAATAGATGAATAGCAATGTGACTATAGAGATGGAATGAAATCGATTCTAGTTTACTTTACTGAGGACAGTTTTGGGGTTCTGGATTCTCCTCGCAAAACGTAATAAGTGGCATTGCCTAGAAAACCAGGCCCCTGTGATTGCCTACCGCATTTCTACATCTGTGGTTCTTTTTAACATGGTCAAACAGTAGCACAGAGACGCCCTGACAGTGTTGTAAGACACCAACTAGGTGAGAATCTCAGCCGTCACTTCCCACCTTTTCTGCTGGGTTTGATCTCATTGCTGTAACTTTTTAAAGCGTCTTGTAGAGAAGGTCCTACATGGGTCAAATCCCATTGTCCTGTGCATGAAGAGACAGTGCAGATCACTGGGAAAATGATTTCTATCTCATCGTACTAACAGTTTGATTGTGCTTTCAGGGTATGTAACGCTTCCTTTTTCTTACTGTACATAATTCTTTGACTGGTGGTTAGAGCCTGTGGTCCATCTCATGCACAAAGGAGGGCTTTCTCACGTGGTCATCAGTCACTGAGGACTCGTTGCAGAAAAGCCAGATTGAGGATTTCAGTGTAGAGGCAAAGTTCAGTTGAAAACACAGTGAGAGGGAGCTGCTGGCCTTCTCTTACCCTGCTGCTCTCTTTCTAGCTGACTGGAGTCTAAATAGCAAATGTAAATCCCGCATAGCAAAGGAAAGAGTAAATGAATGAATGGAAACAAAGAAGCACTTTGTTTTATTTTAAATTACCAGAGGGCACTTGAATTTACCAGAAAGAGATAGAGACAAAGAGAGGGAGAGAGAGAGAATGCACCCTCCCCCAGTGGGATGTGATCACTATATAATCCCTTCTCCTCTGTCTCTCCATCCTGTCGGGATTTGGGATATGGACACATGTGCCCAGCATGGTTTTCAGGCCACTGAAGTCAGGATTTGAATGATGGTCGGCCATGTGGGATCCAGTTCCCTTAACAACTTGGCTACGGGACCCACCTGAAAGCACTTTGAAGTCTAGTGGGAGATAAATACTCCACTTGAGCAATAATTCTGACTCTCTTTGGTAAAAATGGGGACATGCTTGGGCTACTGAGGACCTCAGAAGCTGCACCAGGGCTCCTGGGAGGATCACCTTCTGTGTAGTGAAGCACACTGACTCTGCCTCTCCTCCTGGGGGCTGCACTGCTTTGGGGCCTGGGCTTTGACTGGGATTTGGCAGCAAGAAATAACAGCATATTTGAAACCAATCAGGAAATGCACAGAAATGTTTTGGAAGCTGACTCTGGCCATTTTACATGTAAGTCTTTACGTCAAAGACACAGGAGCAGCAGCACACAGCGTGGTGCTCTTCCATGCTGGGCTTGGGTGGGCCACACCCAAACCTGCCTGTGACGCCCTAGCTCCTGCCATCCCAGCTCCTGCCACCACTCACACTCACTGCCAGGAGTCCGGGTCTCTAGTCCCCTATAGACCCAATAAATTTGGAGAAACATATTATTTAAATAAAAAGACTAATTAATCATAGTTCGGGAATAGTGTTCAGCCTTAAAAAGAAAGGAAATTTTGACCCTTGCTATAGCATGGGTGAGATTATCAGTGAAATAAGCCAGTCACAATAGGACACTTATATGAGGTCCCTAGAGATGTCATGTTTACAGAAACAGAAAGTGGATGAGGGCTTCCAGGGCCCAGGGGAAGGAGAATGGGGAGTTAGTGTTTAATGGGGACAGAGATTCAGTTTAGCAAAGCGTCCTGAAGATGGATGGTAATGAGAGTTGAGCAACACTGTGCATGTACTTCATGCCACTGAATGGGACAAGTACATAGGGCGGAGATGGTGAGTTTCACGTCATGTGTGTTTTACCCCAAGGAAACAAAATTAGTTCATATTTTCCCTTTACAAACACTGATTGAATGGCGACAGGTATCGAGTTCCATGGCAGGAACTGGGAGATGCAAAGATTGATTAGACACAATGCCAGTCTCAGAAAAGTGATGAAATTTCTACAGAGATATCATAAATTTTGACAGACCATTTTTAAAGTTTTTGGGGGATATATATTTTTTCATATCTGATTTCAAAAACAGTTTAGCTTATTTTAGTAATTATTACCTGGCAGGGATAATCTAAGTGATAGTAAGTACCACACGTCATGATAGTAAGGCCTTTAACTCTTACGTCCTTTAAAGTGAACCAGGCTGAGGATATATCACCAGGGTCACAGATTCTCCTTAACGTCCCCCATTTCTGACACAACAGCGATTTTCCTGTTCTTTCTCAGTGTGGGATAGGGAGGGGGAGGAAGGGGGACAGAGGAGGGATGAAAGGATGGCGGGGAGGGGAGGCATGAAGTGCTTCTAGCGATGAGTCCAGCAGTAAAATCAATAGGTGCTGTCCACTGACTATCAATTAAGGCACAATTAAGGCCTCTGGGTTTTGATTTTGATAAGCCTGCTGGCAGTTTAGTTGGAACTCACCAAATAAACAATAATTCTAGACAATTGTATCCCTTATAATGATTCCGAGTGTATTTTCAAGTGAGGTGTAAATGAGGACTTTGCATTGTATGTGGAGACAACAGGGGGAAAATAAAACCACTGGAAAGACCCGAGTAGGTGGGAAACAAAGGAGAAACTGTCCAAAATGAGCACCCACGGTTCCTTTTGGAAAACGCTCGAAAGGCACTTAGTTATTTACCAACTTACTGTGGGGTAGGGGTGGGAGCAGAATACGGTGTACTTTCGGATGATGCCATTCAGCTTGAGAGGGGGAAGCCAGGACACGAAGACCATGGAGGCTGAGGCCGCAGCTGCCTTGACGCCCGCGGGGGGACCTGGAACTAGAAGAGTCGTGCATTTAGTCACGAATCCGGAGCCTGCCATTTCCCAGCATACCTCTCCTGCTGCCCCATCACTGTTCACCCCTTTGAGGGTCAGGGTTGTGGGCTCACTCGTGTCTTCTCAGATTCACGTGTGGGAGTCCTAAACTCTAGCACCTCAAAAGGTGACCTTATTTGAAGGTAGAGTCTTTACAGAAGTCATCGAGGTCATTAGGGTGGGGCTTAACCCAGTATGACCAGCATTCTTACACAAGGAGTCTTTAATAAAGTTTATAAAAAATGTGTATTATAAAAAATCATGCATGAATTTCAATATTTTTTGTACCAAAATAAACCCATACTTTGATTCTTTTTTTCCACAAACTTTTTTTCAGTTTCCTTTTTTAAAATTATATTTATTTCTTTCTCTAAGAGAGATTTTTGCTATAGAGCACATGCGCTCAGAGAGACAGAAAGACAGGGAGCAATCAGCCCCTAAGAGGAGATGGCCATGCTGCAATCCCTTCTGCTTCATTCTCCTCTCAAGATCTTGGCCACTCACACACATGCACGCAGCGTGAGTTTTAAGCCGCTGGGTCCAGGACTCATACCTCAGTCAACTATATGGGAGTCCATTGATCTGTTGGAGTCCAGTGATGTAACCATTAAGCCATCTGCTGGTCCCAATAAGTTCCCTTTTAAAAAGGGGCAATTTAGACACAGAGACAGACACCCGTAGAGGGAAGATGATGTGAAGACACACAAAGAGAAGATATTTTCTACAGATCAAGGAGAGAGACCTGAACAGATCCTTGGTCACAGCCCTGAGCTGGGACCAACCCAGCAGACTCCTCCATCTTGGACTTCTGGTCTCTAGAACTTGAGATAACCGATGTCTGATGTGAAGCCACTCGGACTGTGGTGTGTTATGACATGAGCTGCAGGAGACTCGGATAGTCAGTTCCAGTTCCTGCTTTCCTTGGAGTTGTACCCACCATTTCATCCTGAGTTAGTTCCTCCCTTTGAAGTTGGAGAGTTTAGCTTCTGGGCCATTTTCCTTTCTGCCACCATTTTTGTCTTTGAATGAGCTAAGGATGTGTATCTGCCTCATAAGTTAGAGAAGCTTGAGGGTGAACTACCTCAGTCATCTGAGACCCACCCATTTGTCCTCACCCAGATGCTTCATAATGGTACCTTTTCTGGCTCAGGAGAAGAATGGAGAGCTTGCTTATGGATAAGGATTGTTGTGTCAAGAATTCACAGTATGCATATGCAACTAACTGCTCTTTATCAACTATCTAAAAAGGCAGGAAGTGATGTTAACATAATAAGCATAATTTGGGAGTGAGGGTGAAGACACATCTGCCTTCTTTCTATTCATGTATTTTCCAGGTTGGAGAGGAAGGATAGAAATGAGAGAGAAAGGAACCAGGAGAAGAAAGGACACTCAGGTGCTGCTGAGGCAAGCCACAGCTCCGCTACATCCCTGGTTGGTCTAACTGTCCATACCCAGGCTGACTCCCACATTGGTGGAGGCCTTATACTTTACAGTGGTATAAGTCCCCTATGGCTGGCCAACAGATATGTCTGGGGTTGAATGTACATATCATAACAATCACCTTGCCTCTTCTTTCTCTCTTTTTTGTTTTTAGTTTGTCCAAAGAATTTATTTTTTGTGGTAATTTTTAAATTACTTAATGTTTTTACAATTAAGGTATGAATTTATTTTGGTATGAAAACTTTTTGATTTTATACATAGTTTGCTCATTACATAGTATTTCCATGAGCTTTTTTCTTCCTGAAACTTTTTAAAATTCATTAATTTACATTCATTTCCTGAGCATCATTACAGCATACAAAAAGTGATTTCCCATCAGAATATACTGCATAGTGGCTTAATCCTGCATGTTATCATCAATAATTTTTCATTTCTAGTTTCATATATATATATATATGTATATATATGTGTGTGTGTGTGTGTGTGTGTTTATAAAACCCCTATTTCTGGCCCTCTACCTTTTTCCCACCCTCCTCCCACACTATCATTTCTGGTGTCTACAGTTGTCTTCCATTCCTTTTCTCCCCACATTTTATTGATCACAAAATTTCTTAAATAATCTAACTACTTTCAATAGCAAACTCAGTTGGTAATTTTAAGAAAAGCAGCTTTAACTTTAATAAATCAATGAAATGCTAGGGAACTTTGCTTAAATCTTAAAGCCAGGAGAGGTTAAGATTCTGTTCCAATAGTAGGTACATGAACCTATCGATAGCTCAAGACAGGACAAAAATCCTTAAAACCAGAAAACAAAGTCTAGAAGAAACTCAGCAATGTTTTAGTCAAAAGTCATAAAATTATATTTCACCAGTTCAGTCTCATGTACTTAATCTATCTTCTGTTGTGGTTCAATCTTCCTAATTAAATTCTGGGATATAATAAGTCTGAATGACAAAACCAACAACTTAGTACTGGGTTGGCCTAGTCACATTTGAAAATTTAAAATCTTGGTTTCAGGTTTTGGCAAATCCTGCTGGCAGCAAAGAAGCTAGAAGAGAGAACACATGTAAGTGACAAAGCCTGGATGAATAATCTCTTAAGAACACAGCTCCATTGTCTTGGACATCTCTGCTTACATTCCTACAGAGCCATAGCTAAGACATCCACAATCTGATTCAGAGCTACCAGGATTCCTCCTGAACACAAAGGGGAAAGTGGAAACTCGCTGAATACTAGCAGACATCCTGAACAAGCCAACACTCTCCATTCCTTCTGTAAAGCAAATCACGTGGGTGGTGTCCACCATGCTGAATGCACCATTTGGCCTACTTTTCTCTAGCTGCCCAAGTACTTTCCAGCAACAACCAGCTGAGGAGCTGCTGAACAGAAGCCAGTCATGACGGACTGACTTGTTGTCTAACAGGTTGTTTTCAACCTGTTTGTGACAATTCCTCTTGGCAGGATAATGCTAAGTTAACTCATTATACAAACCAATGAAATATGAATGCAAATTAGAGTAAGTTGTTTTTATGACAATTAATGGGACTTCTTTGAAAGTGTTCCTTAAAGTGTAAGGTAGAAAGAAAATATAAGAAGGAAGAAAGGAAAAGAGGAAGGGAGAAAGGAGGCTCATCTATGTTTGGTCAAGACTACTGAGAAGAAGGGACCTGTAGAAAAAAATCGAGATGGTGTAAACAGATTAGCAGGTTAGTTCTGGTTTGCACCGTGCCACAAAGGTTCAAGGAGCTACAATGCCACTGGCTTCTTTTCATCTAGGTCTATCGTGTAATCCTATGACCTGGGAATGTGAATTAACTTCTCTGATAAGCATTAATTTCTTCATTTATGAATCTGAAACAATACTTGCACCTACTTACAGTTTTATTGTTAAGATTATAAGAGGTAAACTGATGTAAAAAATTTGAGTTCTGTATATAGTAACCACTAAATACATTCCTTCTATCATCTGTAATAACTATTACTATT